ATAAATATGAACAACTCGTGTGATTTTTTAGAAAATTTGTTTCATCCATTGCATATGAGTTTTTTTTTTCAAAAAAAAAAAAACCTTCAATTATGAATTGCGATTTAATTTAAAACAAAAATTACATATAATTCATTACTATAATTAATTATGTATGCTACCAATAGCAATAAATTAATTATCTTATACTTTAAACAATTGATATGCACATCAAATAAATAAAATTGAGCATACTGAAATAAATAATGACAATAAGATCATAAAAATTTATTATGTAAAAATATTTACTTGGTTTCAAAATTTTTAATACATGTTGTCACATAAATGCAAAAAAATAATTTTAAATCAATAATTTATTTACAAAATCAAATTCGGTAGGTTCATATAATATTTCAAAATCATAAGTAAATTACTGATATTCATATAGATTTTTTATTATTATTACTATTATTATTATTGCTTTTTATTTTTATTGGCTTTTCCTTCAATATATACTTGTATGTATTAGTGATTGAGAACCATAATTTTTGGTATAGCAGAACCATTTCCTGTTCAAAATCATTTTAAGTTATTTGATATATATTTTATGTTTTGAAATATATTTCATATATTATCTCTTTATATTATCTGTACCAATAATATTGTGAACGAAATGAAAGAAGATACTACTTTGATTTTCCTACAATCATCTAACAATCTCTATGGTCAATATTATGACCATATTTTTAGGAATTAAAATTTACACAATATCTTTCTCAAATAATAAATTTTCGAACTTGAATTCAAATTTTCATTCAGCCGCCATTTTCTAAAAAATACTAAGAAAAGTAACTTTAAAAATTATAAGCAAGAATTTCAATATTTCAAATAAATTCCTCTCTCTATTATATAGTAATAGATAGATGAGATAAATATAAAAATAATATATTGAGAAAAAAAGTTAACCATTTTTCAGAATTTGAATTCGGCAACACCTAATGTAAGTCTTGTTCTTGTTTTTAGCTAAAATGTCAAATTGTCAAACATGGGTGTCATTGCTTAGTTAAAAGATATTTAGGATAAAGGCTTTTTGCTTGCGGTAGATTTGGAACAAGTTCATTGAGATTGTGTGAATATGTGGATATATATAAGGTCTTGAAAAGGTGAATCATAATTAAGGACACATTTATGTGATTGCATAATATCTGTTATTTTGTTCGACAATTTCTACTTATTGGCACATTTAATTATAAATATTTAGAAATCATAATATGTGCTAAAATTATGGTATAATGACAATCTGATTTTTGTTCTAGATTAGATTATTTGTCCAGCTTAACTTTTTTATTTGTCCAGCTTAACATTTTTTATTTTGATTTTTCTTTATTTTCTCCCGCCCAACTTTTTTCAGCCCTTTTGGAACTTTGTAACTGAAATTTAAGAATATAAGATTTCCCAAATTACTGTATGTAAATAACTGCTGATTGGTTGAATATAACAAAATCTGATAAGATCATGGGATATTGCAATTTTTAGAGATTTTTGTTATGTTAGTTATAAATTCTGATTAAATTATGGGATATTGTAAAATTTAGCTAATTTTTATTTTTTTTTTTATTTTTTTTGCAGGTCTAATTCAAGTCAATTTGGTGTGGGCATTTAATTGATTATTTGTAAATATTTGTAATTTTTTTAAAAAATTTGTATATATCTTGTATTTATTCAGTTTATTGAGCATGCCTTAATATTTGTTGATTTATAGAGAAAATGTTAACAAATATAATACGATATTTCAAAATAAAATTTCTAGTAATTCACTATTTATTTTTTTATGTAAATATTTAAACTAATTAAGTTTTATTTGGGACAACTAACTAAGCTGAGAAAGTGAGAAATAAAATCCTTGGAATTCGTGTAACTGACCGATCTAATTTAAAGATCAACGCAGTCGAGGCATAAAAGTCAATGTTGATCTGATTTTGTAAAAGAAAAATAAAAAAATCTATATATAATAGTCCTGTAATTTTTGTGCAGGAATCTGAAAAAATGTTTTATTAAATACTAGTACAATGCCCGTGTATTATACGAGTGCTTGCTAAATTTTTTTCGTAAAATTTAAAATTAATGACAAAAAGTAGTTGAAAATTTAAATATGTATTATTAAAAATATATATTATTATATAATTTAGTATGACACTTGTTACTTGTGCGACTTAACTGTGTTATATTATAATAATTTTTTAACTTATAACATATAACTACATTAAGCATAAATATTTAATTGAGAAATAATTTTATTTTTCTAATTAATTTTAAGAAATATTTTATTATTATTATTATTATTATTATAAATATAAATATAATTAATTTATTTTATATATACAATATGAATGTCAAATCGAAGCTCATTAAAACATGACTAATTTGATATATTATATATGTAAAACCGATAAGAAATACAAAAGTTTTCAACTTTTAAAATATATTTACAATTCAATAGTTAAAATAGAAAATATTATTGAAATGCAATAAATACATCTAAAATGATCATAAATAAATTAACATATTTATAGTAATTCGAACCTAATTTTTTTAGACTGAAATTAAATTAAAATCTATTTAACCAAATAATAAAGAATTAAATTTTGACACCTAGCATCCCGAAGCATGCGAGTCTGCCACTTAAACTCAACACATTCGGGAATTACATATAAGGAGATTTTATTAAATGGATTAGCCAACAATTATAGATATAAATATAGATAAAAAAAAAAAAATTAACAACCGAGGTGCTTAGGAATTTAGAGATACCGTTACTAACCAATCATTAGTAGCCATGTCATCATCCTAGTCAGCCAATGCCATGCACCAGTAACACTGAATAATACCCCACATCCAATAGTATTGCCGCTGCACTCGCAGGTCTGCTGCTTCGCTATTGCCACCCTCCGTATCATTTGCAGATTTTTTTTTTTTTTTCGTTTTAATTTATTTATTTTGGATTTTTTTTTTTTCAAGGGTTGCACAAAATACGACGTTTAGGCTTCATTTGTTTGTTACCTTTTGAGCCTTCACATTCACTCTCCTTTTGTTTGTGCTGTGCGAAGAACCAGTCGTCGTCTACAGGGGGCTTTGCTTGTTGCATACGTAAGCCTGTAATTGAGCGTTTTGGTACTTCTCTTCACCTTTTTCTTCGTGCTCTTGTGTATTTTCATCTTCATTTTTGTTTTGCTGAGATGGGTTCTTCATAAATTTTCTCCCTTTTCTTCTCACAGTGCAGTGCGGCTGTTTGGTTTTGCTGGTAAACGGCTATGTTGAAAACAATCATTCTTTATTGCTGTCATTTTTTGTTGATTTTTTGCATCTTTTGTTGTTTTCCCTTTGAAGAACACGAGCATTTGTGTGCACTGTTCGGTCATGCATATGTTGTGTGAGAAGCTTTTTTCATGTTGGCTTCTTTTCTTGGTTCTGTAATTCTGCTGTTAGAAATGAATTTTTATGTATGTATAAGCTTTTTGCCTTAACTGCAGTGTGGCATATTATCATGAGTTGGAG